GAGCCACCTCAACTGGCTCCTCTCGACGTGGAGGAGCAGCGGCTCTACTCTGAGTCCCTCCCGGATGACTGAGCTTCTCACTCTATCTCTAAGGGAGAGCCCAGACACCCTGCAGAGGAAACTCGTTTCAGCCACTTGTATCCGTGATCTTGTTCTATCGGTCACTACCCAAAGTTCGTGACCATAGATGAGGGTAGGAACATAGACCGACCAGTAACCCGAGAGCTTCGCCTTCTGACTCAGCTCTCGCTTCAGCACGACAGACTGGTACAGTGCCCACATCACTGCAGACGTAGCACCAATCCACCTGTCGATCTCCCGCTCCATTCTTCCCTCATTCATGAACAAGACCCCAAGATACTTAAACTCCTCCACTTGGGGCAGGACCTCTTCCCCGAACCGRAGAAGGCACCCCCTACCCTTTTCCGGCTCAAGACCATGGTCTCGGATCTGGAGACACTGTTCCTGATCCTGGCCGCTTCACACTCGGCTGTGAACCGCTCCAGTGAGAGCTGGAGATCATGATCTGATGAAGCCATTAGGACCACATCATCCACAAAAAGCAGAGATGTGATCCTAAGGTCACCAAAACGGATCCCTTCAACACCTTGGCTGCGCCTAGAAATTCTGTCCATAGAAGTTATGAACAGAATCTTGAAAAGAATCAGAAACTTACTACCAACAATGCGGACCAAGCTCTGGCACTSGTCGTACAGGGAACACAGCCCGTATCAATGGGCCTGGTACCAGAGTTGTAAAGTAACTAAGTACAAATACTTTGTTACTGTCCTTAAGGAGAAATTTTGGTTATCTGTATTTTACTTGAGTAATTAGTTTTCAGCCTACTTTTTACTTTGACTCATTACATTTTTACACAATTATCTGTACTTTATACTCCTTACATTTTTTTAAAAAGGTAAGAACTATAAAGTTGTGACTCCTATTTTATTCTGCATTATTATTTAAAGAATACTATCCTAATAAATTGTGTATCGTGGATAGAGTACATTAAATTGTGGTTGAATGAGAAGTATAAATATATACCACTCTGAAATTGTATAACTTTGTGCACAGTCCATCACAGCTGCACACTAAAATGTTTTTTGGAGAAGTCACCTCCCAATAAATGTCATTTTGGAAAATCTACCTGCTCAGTTTTACTCAGTACTTTTACTTTTAATGATTAGGGGCGGCACGGTGGCTCAGTTGGTAGAGCTGATGCCTCTCAGCAAGAAGGT